TTTGCAGACCTGGATCAGGTGGCCCAGTGTGGGCTGAACTGGCCCACTCATGCTGAGTTCAGCTCTGCCATACTGTGCAATGAAACTTCCATCCCTCATCCAGGAGCAGGAGCTCTCTGCTCCTTGCAGCACTTGTGTTCCTGAGTGTGGCTCCCAGCACTTAGCAGCTCTTTACTTGCAGCTTCTGTCCTCCAGGGACTGACTGCCACCTCCCTCTGGTGGTGGCTCCCATTCCAATTCAGGAGCTTTCTGCTCTGCTCTTTTTGCCAGGGTCTGTTTGGTGCACCTTTGGTACCACCTGTAGTGGTTGTTCCTGTTGAAGTGCTCCCTCTGCCATTTTCCCACCACCTACGACCTGCTGAGGAGCAGAAAGTATTGCAGTTGAGTGAATCACCAGATCTTCTCTGTCTCAGCATCCTTCCTCATGGCGTGGTCTCCTTCCAGCTGCTGCCCTCACTTCCCTGTACATCACCTGATCTGTTTGCAGAGATTGGGATCGAAGGCAGCCAGGCTCTGTCCCAAATGAATGCCATGGAGATTGGCTGCACCCTCTGTTTGCATTGCTCCCCATCTGTTCTCAGGGACTCCCCACTTCTCGCTCTATGGGTACGTGAACTGTATTTCTGAGAATAAAACTGATTGGTGCTGTGTTTTTTGGGTTGTTATTTTTTGGGAGGGGAGTCTTTCTAGTTGAACCTTCTGTGCTGAAGGTGAACACAGGTGTTCAGCGTGTGGGCAGTGCCCTTAGATGCACTGCTCAACTCTGAGGTGTGGGATCAGGGCTTGGACTCGGTGAACCCCATGGATCCTTCCAGCTCGGGGTGTTCTGTAGGGTGAAGGACCACAGAAACCCACAGCAGAGCTCTGGGTGCTGAGTGAATGCATGTGCTCACTTGGTTGTGCTTTTTGGATGGGCAGATGAGCAGGAAGATATGTGCTCTTTGGTCCTCTGGATGTCTGAGCTTGTGACAGGTGCTAGCATCTATTTTGCAATAAACAGCTGTTAGCTCAGGGTCTTTGTGTTCATCTGTATGGAACTGAGGATGCTTGCCATGGTCCTGTAGTGAGAAGTGATCACAAGGCATGGCTTCTCCATTTTGTTGCCTCAGCGTTTGTCTGGATTATAAACATAGGAAAAAGAAAGAACCTTCTGGGGTGTTCTGGTTTCTTCTTTCACTGTGAACCTTTCCAGGTCTCTGCCATCCATCTGAAGAGCTCAGCAGAGGGCACTATGTTCACCGAGGTGCTCGCTTTTATCTGGCAGCTTTAAATCACAAAGTGTCCCATAAAGGGAGGTGATTTAACTGCAATTCGATTTATTTGTACACTTGCAAATTCTTTTTAAGGGTGGTGTTGATTCCAGTAGTTACTCTTCCCACAGATGATGTTACCAAAGGAGATGAGAAGCCATGGGGGTGCACACGTTTGCTGCTTTGTTCCCATCACTCGATTGCAGCTCTGCAGAATGACTGGAGCTGCTTCGAGTTGAAAGCAGAGAACGTGAAAGCTGGGACACCTGTACTGTGCACTGTGCTTGTGCCAGAGGGCAAGGAGGTCTGGATGGCCTGGAGTAAAAAGCACTTTGCTAACAGTATTGAGAGATGTCCACTGAGAAATGGACAGGGGACTCTCAGGGGGAATAAAACAGACAGCATGCCCTGTGCCTATGAGAAGTGAGCCCAGAACTCATCCCATGGTTCTGGGGGGGGATAGTTTGGCTTGGAGGGGAACGGAGTCTTGGGATAGACTGGCATGGGGGTGGTGGTAGTGATATGTCAGCAGATCTGTTGGCAAGGACAGAAAAAGGGAGCTGCCAGCTTCCTGTGCTCAGAACAGCGCTGCTTTGGTTGCAGTGCAGAACTCCAACCTCAAGGCAGTGCTCAGATCCATGAGAGCGGCTCCTCAGGGACCCTGGGAGGAGAACCAGGAACACAGCAGTGTGGGATTATGGCTGGGAGCAGCACTACATGAGCAGCCTTCTCACCAGGTTGGCTAAAGCCAACGGTTTGCAGCTGGGATAATGAGAGGGTTAGAGTCATACTGCATTGCACAGGGTTAGGATTGCAATGCACTGCACGTCGCATTCCATCATTTGTTTGCAGGCAGAAGGAAGACAACATAAAGCCACCAAACCGAGGAGATGTGACTGACTGAAAATGATGGAGCAGCGAAGCTTCATGGCTGAGCAGAGCAGTGCAGCAGGTACCTGTTATTCCATACTGTGTGCTCACATCTCACAGTGGGTGCTGTGCCCATGCCTGGCAAATCACCCACCTCTCTCTGGCCCAGGTGAGCAGTGTGGGTGATGGGTGCTGCAACGGTAACAAACACAGGGAAGGATCTGGTTTGGCTGCAGATGGTACTGCAGAAGGAGATGGCATTGCATGGGGCTGTATGTACCACACCACAGACACGTAAAAAGAGAAGAGTTTTATTGGTTATATACTGTAGAGCTGACAGTGTTCGAGTCAGGAGAGACATGCAGAGAAGTGTGGTTACATGTGGCATGCAGACTGCGAGCACTGGGACGGGGAGAGGTGAGCAGGGGCAGAGCTGCTCCCCTGGCTCTGTGGTTATGAAAACATTTATTGCGTTATTGCCCTCTAACTAAGCCGCCCCAGCCCAAATCTATGTCTGCAAATACAAAAAAATAGATTATTATATATATATATATATATATATATAATTATTTTTTTTTTCCTCTTTAAAAATACATTCCATGCAGCCCCCAGCGCCGTCCCCCCACCCGGGTCCTTTCCATCAGCTGCAGCAGCAAAGAACGGCTGGGACCCCCCGTGCTGTGCGAGGGGCAGAGCTGAGGGCTGCACTGCAATGTCTGGGTGGTTGTTGCTCCATCCACAGCACTGGGAGCAGCCCTGCACCCCCTCTGTTCTCTCGCAGAGTTGGTGGCTGTGTGTGGGGATGGGGCTCCATCAGAGTGCAGTGGGGACACTGCAGTGCCTCCTTTACTCTGACCAAGGAGCTGATGCAGCAAATACATTTACACCTTTGGAATGACCCTCGTGGCCTCAGGTCCTCTAAAAGCCCGTTATATTTATATGCTAAAATTACAAATATTTCTTCAGTGATGGCAATATTTACACATACACTATTTTACAGCCGTTCCAAAAAAAAAAAAAAAAAAAAAAGTGTGCAATTTGAGTCAGAACACATTGTGTTTCCTGAAGTCATCGCTATAGTAATACAATCAGCTCCTATTGCACTCACCATGATGGGGCAGAGCCCCTCTCTCAAACTTGAGGTTTTCCTTCTTGGACTGAACTGTGGCAGAATGAGGTTGGGTGGCACCTCTGTAATACAGAGCTCAGAGCTGGAGGTCTGTGCTGCAAAATGTGGGGTTGGCAATGGGGAACAGCTGCACAGCAGCTGCTCACAGCCATCCTCCCCTTCAGGCTGTTCCTTTTCTTCGATGCAGTGTTGCCTTCCTGCTCCAGGGTGCTCTCAGATGGTGGAACACCACCAATTTTCAGCACTGCAGGACCAGCATTGCAGTGGGGAGGAGGAGAAATGCAGCACAATCTGCACTGAACCGCAGAATTTCCATTTCTTTCAGTTCTGTTGCTGGATTTGGGGCTGTTCTCTTATGACAGCAGCTGCACACAGTCCTCCCACCCCACAGAGCAGTAGGAGAGAGCATGTGATATAATTTAATATAATTTAGGGTGATTAGAGCTGCTGCAGGACTTGTTTAAAAGCCTTGCCTTTTTATCCTCATGAGCCAACCTGATGCACGGACACAGAATAAACTGCAATGCTAAAAAATACACATTTGGGACAACACCTAAAACTGCTGAGAGGAAACTGGAAATTTTTTTTTTTCCCCAAAAAATAATCTTTTTCCCCCTCCAGCCAATCTTTATTAAAAAGAAAAAAAATAAAAAAATAAAATAATGCCATTGAAGCACCTTGTGGGAGGGGTCAGTGGTAGTGCAGCTCCAGGAACAGCCCATGGGTGGAGGGAGAGGGCACAGAGCTGCAGTGGTTTGACATGCAGCCCCCTCACCTTATGGGTGTGTGGAGCTGTGGGGTGACCCCAGCACTGCTGCTATCTGAGGTCGGTGGCACTGAAAAGGGAACAGAACTCTGCAGCCCCTGACCATACCTGGGTCCCAGGTGGGGCTCCTGAGGAGGGGGGGGGAGCAGTTTGGGGCTGCTCCATGACCATCCTGGAGCTCAGCCTGGGGTCCAGTCCTGCTGTTTTCCCTCCTTTTTGGAAGGAATAAGGACATCCTGCTTCTCCAACCAGAAGAAAAGCCCTCCTTTCTGCATCCCTTGGATCTCAGCAGCTCAGAGCCAGCACGATCGCCATAAAGCTGTGGGTGAAACCCCACCTGGGCCAAACCAGGAGCACATCTGCTGCTGTGGGGTTGGTGTAGTGATCACTGAGCATCAGAGCTCAGCTGCTGTCAGCAGATCACGCACAGCTCCTCGCAGGGACAGCAAAAGGGGAGGAAGCTGTTCCGCTCTCCTGCCCTGTTAGCGTGTCAAACAACCAGAGAGTGCTTTTCTCCCACCTACAGACAGGAATGCAGGCGTGGGGTGAGTGTGACCTGAGGAAGGTGTGGTGTGCAGTGGAGATCGTGGGCTCCTGGAGGAGCTGAGCACTGCGTAGGACGGCCATCCCAGCTGCAGTCACAGGGACACCTCCTGCATCTCATCTGTATGCGGGTGATCGGTGAGAAGTTCTCTCTGGTCTGAGGAGTACCTTTGTTCTGTTTGAAAGCATGGCTGGTACACAAGTCAGTGTTTCCATAGAGCTGCATCCTATGGATGAAGGTGAGGATTGCAGGTACAGAGGTGAGAAGTGGGAGTCCCCTGAGCAAAGTCTCTGCAGCTGCCTCTTCAGCGACGAGGGAAAAAATTCACTGGTAAAGCTCTTGTACCTCACAAATGGTGTCAGAAAACTGTTTTCTGGCTGGCTGAAGCTTTTGGAGAGGTTACAAACAGATGTGACACCCGTGAGCTCAGTACAGTCCTGTCTCTCGCTCTGTGATGCAGTGTTGGTTTGGTGGAAGGGAGCACAGCTCATCTCCGGGACGTCGGCCGGCCAACACGGGAAGCACCCTGCAAGAGAAGCCACAGCATCACAGCCTGCCAGGACCTGGGGGCTGTGGGGACAGGTACTGTGATTACCCTCAGGTCCCACCCCCATTGGGACCATGGGCCCGTGGTGGGGCTGTGGGGGGAGGACAGTGGCAGGAGCAGTCTGGAAGGCATCAGCTCTCTCAGGGTTTACAATGGAATAAGCCCAAGGCAAACTGACCCATCCCTGCCCCTCACATGCTTTCACCATCACCTTTTTTTATGTGGGCACACTCAGCACTTGTTGCTGTGCTGGGGATACGGATGTGGGAAGTGCAATGAACAACCTCTGCCAGCACTGATGAGATGGAGCTGATCTGCCATGGGCTGTGTGCAGGGCACAGCGCTGAGTGCAGGCAGTGCAGGAGCACCAGCTGACAAATAACAGTGTGTTACGCTGACCTGACTGCACCCAAGCTTTTATTTGCTGTCATATCAGACTGTGCAGTGAAAGGGAGTCCCTGGTGATCTGACACAATGACCCCTCCATTGCAAACCATACTGCTGGGGATAACTAGGGGCAGAGCTTTTTATTCCCAGGAGGATGTCCTTAGCAATAAAGCTAGCTGAATGAATCTAGAATGGAAAAACAAGGTACTACTTTTTTCCCATTGTAGGAAATTAATAATTAACTTACTCCATCTCTGGGAAGCTCTACTCTCCAGAGAGGTTCACACTGATGTGGACAACCGAGTTGCGTTACAGGAGGTTGGCTCAGAGTTTGGCTTCGTGCCTTTGAGCCCTCATTTCTCCTCAGCTCTCACGTACCTGATCTTCTGCCTGGAGCCCTGGTGGGGTATTGGGGCTGGATGTGGGGTCCTGCAGCTCCAGGGGGAGGACTGCCCTTCTCCCTGTGTCAGCCTGCGAGAGGTACTCGGAAGAGCCATACTGTTTTCTTCTGGAACTGGAGACAAAATCTTTGCTTTCATCCTGCGGGAAGGAAAACAGGAGAATTGGAACTCAATGTCTGTGGCCCTGGGTTCCCCAACCCTGACTTGCCGTATGAGGTTGTGTTTCAGTTCCCTTTGGCAGGTGGGCACCGAAGCCACCAGCTCAGCTTGAGGATGTCTTCACCTAAACACTACCTCACAGAGGCTTGTTAAATCCATCCCATAATTTACAGCCTTAAGTTCTGGGTGCTGAACCCACTGCTCAGCCACGTAGGGCTGTGTTCAATCCCTGGGCCCAGAGCACTGCAGGCTTAGGAGACTCAGGAAGGGATGTGGGCAGCAGGAGCTCCTCATTTGGTGACTGAAGCAATCTCTTAAAAACATTAACCGTGAGTCTGAGCTCACAGGTGAGGGGTGGCTGGTAACCTGAATCTATTTTCTTGGCAATGAGGATGTGATGAGGCAGCGCCTTGTGCTCTTTTCCTGGCAGAGGCATATATAAATACCCATATTATGTTTTACACTTGCTGATCTTTTCTTGACTGCCTGCCAAGACCCCCATGGGACCCCATGGGACCCAGGTGCCCACAGTTTCTGCCCTGGGGCTATTTGGGGCAGCTTGAGCTGCAGAGTGCAGAGACCCCACAAACTCCCTGGGAACAGCAGATGTCAGCGTCTGTTATTGCCATCACTGGGCTGGAAAACCTCGTCTGATAGCTCTGTCACACACAGGTTCCAGCATGTTGTAAGGCACGTCACCATCAGAATGCTACACAGCTCCTTGTGATGTGAGCTGAACTCACGTTTTGCTCAGGGAAATACAGCTGCACTGATGGGGGATAAAAGGCCATGGGGGCACTGCACTGTGAGGGATGGAAGACAAAGCTCAGCCCTGCTCCTGTGTGCATGGAACAGCAAGGAAGGGAGGCATCCTTTATTGTAATGATGTCAGTCATCTTGATGAACCTGGACAGCTTCCCAGCAGGTGGGCACCTCCTGTCTGACAGAACAGCTGCCTTTGGAGGGGACTGGGTCAGCACAGAGGTGCTCCATCCCCTGGAGCAGCCAATAGTGTCAGTCTCATGGGGCTGCTCAGCTGGACATGCTGTCCAAAAAGGCTTTCACAGGTGAGGAGCTCAGGGGGACGAGCAGGCAGACAGATGCCTCTCCCAGCTGCCAGCAATAGGCTGGGGTGAAGCACAGCACAAGGGGCACTCACATCACTGACAGATCAGCTTGCCCTGCTGAGACCTGGGCAGTGCTATGTGCAGGTGGGGACAGCAGTGCCCTGCAGCCTGGGGTTGGCATACAGCATGCTGATTTCCAGCACCCCACAACCCAGGGTTGGCTCAAAGCATGCTGATTTCCTCAAATTACCAACCTTCAACAACAGAACAAAGCAGAATCAGGGCACATCTGACTGCTGAAGTCAGAATGTTAGATAGATTAATCATGGATAAAGCTAAAAGAGCACAGCCCTGGGTACTTTCAGGGAGACTTTCCCGGAGACCCCCACCCTCATCAGAAGGCACATGTGAAGAAGAGCCTCTTGCTGGATTTTTCACCTCAGTTCTGTGTCACTCCAAGACAGCCTCAAGAAAAAACCAAAACCATTCGCCCTGCACTGCTGCTTGTCTGATCTGTGCCTGCTATCTGTGTCTGCACTAATGCAGTCACTGCAGATTTTCAGTACGGATCGGGCTGGTGAAAAACTGACCTCATTATCTGAAATGTGGAGCCCAAGAGAATAACAGCAGGAGGTGATGCATCTCCCCAGCCCTCTCCCAAGGGCTGTAAGCACCAGAGGGAGCTGCTCCTCCACCTGCACCTCTGCCCCAGCACTGATCCTACAGCACTTACCCCAGGCAGACCCCCAAAGATCTGCTGCTTCTGTCCTGCAGCCTTGCTCAGAGCTGCTCATTAGCAATAAAAAAAAAAGGATGAAATTAGTGAGGCCAAGCAGCAGGACTGCTGCAAAGGAGGACCTCTTGAGCTGCAAGGCAAGTTTGTGTTTTGCCAGAAAGCCAAACTTCTAGCAGAAGGCCTAGGGCTGGCTCTCTGCGTTCCCAAGTACATGAGCTGTCATTATTGAAAAGGAGACCCGCCTGGATTCATGGAAGAGAAGTCCAACGTGCCTGTGGCACATGAGGAACTACGGTCAGGGAGAAGATACCACCAGGAGCCTCACTCCAACAGGTGGGATAGAAATGGGGCTGCACACACGTGTCTCCATCACCTGCCTCAAGCACGGGGGGTGATGCCATTCCCCAGTGCTCCCTTCAATACAGCAGATTTGGGTTGTTCACTGAGGCTGAATGAATACCAACCACCACGTCTTTGTTCCCTGATGTATTCTTAGTGACCAGAAGTATCTGGAAGGCCAACCTGCACACTGCAACGCCAGGCAATAGACTCTGCAAAGCAAATGGTACAAATGCTTCTGTGCTTATCGTTGCCAAAGAAGTAGAATGATTTCACACACTGCCACCACCTCAGGGCTGCAGTCACCTGGTTGTGAATTTGTCCCCACTGTCACCAGCCCTATCAGATGGCTCCTCTTCTTAATCAGGAATGGCAGCAGCTGCTTAGATCAGCTTTAAGGAAAGAGCAGAAGTGGGAGGTGCAGTGGGATTTAATGGACTGGAAGGGCAGTGTGAGCATGTTTAAAATATGCCACAGTCTGCAACTCTGGCAGCAAGACAGACCATCAGTGAGGGTCAGCCCTGCTCTGAGTGACCCCTCTCATTAGCAACACCCAAAGGAACAGGAAAAGAAGAAATCCACTCCCATGGCCCTCACTTTTCAGATGGTGTGATGATACAGACCAAGGAAGGAGCAACTCTGTGCAACCAGCCAGCCCTGATCTGCTCAGATGTCCAGACAGCACTTCCAGACCAGAGCCCAGCAGTTCTGGCTCTGGTTTTGCATGTGCAGCCCTTCCCAAATGGCACTACCTGAGGGACACCCCTATCACCCTCATCTCCTCATCTGAGTGCCACTCCAAGCTGCTGTGCCATGCAAAGCCACGCTGAAAAGCACAGCAGATCCTACACCAGCTGGACCTATCTCCTCTGATCTTGGCAAGACCAAATAGGTAATTATCTAATTATCATATGGCAAAGAGTGCGTAATGGGGACACTTACAGGTAAGGTGGTGCGGTGCCAGGGGGAAGCCGTGCTGGGATCACTGGTGTAGTTCCTGCGTGTCAGCAGTTCAGATGCACTTAAGTTACTTTTGGTCCTTCGGGAGCCCATCTCAGGGGTGTTCCAGGAGTTGGTGCTGGCACTGCTCCTCGCTGAGCTCTGCTCCAAGGAGTTTGTTTGTGTGCTGTTCCCTTCCATCTCGGAGAGGTCCACTGAAGACCTGCATGCATTTGTAGGGCTGGAAGCTGTGTTTTTCTCCATTTTTATTTGAGAGTCCTCCAGGGAATGTAAGCCTTGCCTTGTTCTCCATGAACTTCTCAGAGTGACGTGTTTGGTTTCGGATGAAATGGAATCTGAAAAGCCATGGCTCCTGGAGCTGGCTGTGTCCAACTGGAGCTCACCGCTCTTCTCGGGAGGCTCAGAAGTCTTTATCACAATGCTGCTCCTGGAGACCACCGTTTCTGTTCTACTTCTCAGCACCGCATCTCCAGTTCTGTCGGTCTCAGATAATTTCAGGGCACTTCTATTAACTGCGACCTCAAAAGGCTGGGGGAGGCTGTTCGTTATCGGGGAGGGTTCATTTGGAGCAACCCTGATGTTGCTGGTGGTAATATGCCTTTCCTTTCCTGCTGTGTCCGTGCTGGGCCTTGGAACTGTTGGCTCAGAAGGGAAGATGGTGATGCTGCTCGTCATTTTATTTGTGACTGCTTTAAAAACAGACTTCTGCTTTTCTGACTCTGTCTCAGTGACAGCCCCTCCCATGATGGCCTTCATGTCCTTCTCCACAATGGCTGGTTTAATGATGGCTTTGGATCTCAGAGCTTCTCTTGGGCTGAACGACCTTCTGGATTTCAGTGCTCCAGTGTCGGCATCTGATGGTTTCATGCACTTAGAGGAGTCCTCGTCGTGTACAGTACTTCTGTCATTTTCAAAGAGAGATGCTCTAAAAACTCCCCTGGAATTAGAGAACTGCTTGGAACTGGCCTTCTTTCTTGTCTCAAAATCCGACTGAGTGTTTGCTTTTTTACTTCTCCCCGTTTCTTCATCTGAATTAAGTTTTTCATGACTACTCTGGGTGGTTTTGGAGTCTGCTTTTAAGCCAGCACTTACATGACCTGCTGCTGCAGACTGCTCTGCGTCCTCTTTCAGAATCTGCAGAATGTCCTCCTGGCTCCTTGAGCGATGCGAACGCTTCGTTAGCGGTGATGCTTTCACGCTTTCAAGTGACACATCTGTGAGTTCCTTCTCCTGGGGGATGATGGCTCTTTTAGCCCTTCCCTCCAAGGGCTGCCGGTGCGACGCAGTCGAGGCATTCGCCGCTTCTGCCTTAGAGCCAACACAGTCCGACTCTGCTGCTGAGATGTGGCACCTGTATGCGGTGGCCACGCCATTGGAAGAGGCACAGTGCCCCCTGGATTGCTGAGTGTCCCCCACAGCATCGCTCACCTCTCCCTGATTTGTCTTCAGCTTCTCAGCTAACAAAGCCACCGATTCCCCTCTGCTCGACTTTTCATCCCGTGTGTCTGCGCCGGCCTGGCAGCTGCCGCGGGTTGCCTGAGATGGTTTTTCAGCCTTGGATCTCAGCTCACTAACGGGTTTGGAAGGCGTTTTCCACGATTTCTGCTCATGAGCAGCAGGGGGGTAGCGACTGAGGACAGAGGGCTGCTCTTTGGATCTCTTCCCCTCGTTCTGCGTGAAGGAAGCTTCCTTCTGACCAGATGAAAAAGTGGAAACCGAACATTTCTCGTCCAGTCTTTTCACATCTGTTGCAGCAACATCTGCAAGGGCAGCTGCACCCGTTGCCTTTCCTGCCTTCCTGCTCATTAGGCTCGGGCTGGGAGTCTGCTTACCACCATGGCCGGAGCTGTCATTGCTGAAGGAGAAATCTCTGTTTCTCACTCTCTCCCGGCGCTGCTGGGGCGAAACCTCCCTTGGTTTGTGCTTGGCAGCTGTGAAATCTGCTGCAACAACTCTGTATTTAGCTCTGTCATGTTTCCCCCTGCTAGAGAAGCTTGCGTCTTCATTTTCAACCTCTCCATTTTCCAGATCTTTCTGTTTCTTTATTTGCATTTTTATTTCTTCTAACTGACCGGTGAGAAGTTTGTTTTTATTCTGTTCACTCAGATAACTGTCTTGCAGGTCATTGTTTTTGGCTCTCATTTTTTTCAGTTCTTCTTCTAAGGATTCAAAGTGTTTGATCTGAGTTTTAAGTCTCTCAATTTCTTGGGTGAGATCTTTCACTTTGTTGTCTTCCTGATTCTTATTCTTTTGGTTTTCTGATTTATTCCTGGTCTCATTTTCTACGTGCTTTAGGTAATCTACGCTTCCCTTCCGCCTGGTTTCTTTAGAGGGCAATGCAGAAGTCAAATCATCTTCAATTCTCAAATCATTTCTGTCCAGGAGACTGTTTGATGACCTTTCCAGCAAGTTGGATGCATTTCTAGTTTGATCTGCCCTGTTTAATTTATTGTTTTGCTCTAGTTTCAGTGTGAGCTCCTGGATTATTTTTTCATTCTGCTTTTCTCTTTCATTAAAATGTTTTCTCTCACTGATAAAGCTCAGTGCTAAAGACTTCAGTTTTTCTAACTCACCTGTTAAGCTCTGCTCGGTTTTATCCATCCTCTCTTCAGACGCTTCAAGTTCCTTCACTTTCACTCGAAGGATTTCTAACTCTGTAGATATCTTTTTGGTCAAATTCCTTTCTTCGTTGAGGCTGAGACACAGCTGCGTGCAGTCGTTTTTGCTCCTGCCAAAGGCCTCCTCCAGTTTCTCCAGCTCTGCCATTCTCTTCTGCAGATGCTCAATTTCTGACTTCAGCTCTCGGGTGAGGCTCTCCTCTTCCTCAAGTTTTTCTTTCATTAACCTGCAAAGCTCTTCAGCCTTCTTAATTTCCTCATCCTTGCCTTCAATCTTCAGCACTCTTTTCCGCAGGGCCTCGATGTCAGCCAGCATGCTGGAATTGCTGCCTTCTGCCTGGATCACTTTGTCCTGGAGCTCCAGCAGCTCATCCTCTGCTTTCTGGAGATTTTTTGTTGCTTCTTCCAGTTCATCAAGGCGGCGGCTAAGACTCTGCAACTTGAACCGCAGGTGTCGACTGGAGGTCTCCTTATAACCTGGAAATTCTGCCATGTTTATTTTCTGTTCCTCTGAGATGGGAGCTTGGCTGATTCTGAGTGCTTAACGCGTGTTCCCTGTGTGTTATACTTCCTTTGAAGAGAGGCAGCTCAACCTGAACGAAATAAAATGCTTAAAGTGAACACAAGAGCTCAGAATACACGTATTCTCACTGTATAAATTAATTGCAAATATTTATATTTTTCTTATTTAAACATGTTTCTGAGTGCCAATTAGGGACAGCAGCTGCCAGCCAGCACTGCCCATCACTTCCAGTACCCCTCCTGCAGTCCAGGTCACTCAGCATCCAACTTTACCTGAGCTGCAGTCACATCCCTTGTCAGTGGAGTTTCAAGTTTCTCCCTCCTCTTTCAGAAGCTGTCAGTGCCCTCAGTTGCCTCCCACTCGTGCACCCAGGAGACAGCAGCTGCGAGCACTCACGCTTTCTACTCCCTGTTGCCAGGGATAAAGAGCAGCAATTTCAACACATGGGCAAGCTGTGACGCAGTAAATACAACTTAAATGCAACTCTTCCCAGCTCAGAGCCGGCAGGGCAGGGTTTGTGAGAGCTGGGGACAATGTGAGTGGGCCAGGATGGCTGATGGGAGGATGAGAAGATCCCTCTGACTGCAGGCATTAGCACTGAGCCATCCTGAGCTCCAGACAGATCCCAGCCACGCACTGCGTGTACAAGAGCTAATGTAAGCACACAAAATCATCGAACCACAGAACGGTTGGGTAAGAAGGGACCTCAAAGCCCCCCCAGCTCCAACCCCTGCCGTGGGCTGGTTGCCCCCCACCAGATCAGACTGTCCACGGCCCCATCTATGTCACTGGGCACCTCCACCTCTCTCTAGTACTGAACACAATACTCCAGATGGGGCCTCACGAGGGCAGAGCAGAGCAGACAATTCCCACTCTGCCACTGCCACCCCTCTGCTGACGCAGCCCAAGGTACTGTTGGACCTCTGGGCTGAAGGGGAGGTGACTGCAGCTCTCAGACCTGTGCCCTGGCTCTTCGGGCTGCCTCGAAGCAGGATGTGGCTCCAGCATTTCTGCTGGAACTCCCCGCAGAGGAAACACTCCGGAGTTTCCTATTTCACAGTGCCAAGAGGTGAAGAGCAGGATGTGGGGAGGAGACAGCACCGGGAAAGGAGACTGCAGTGCCCCAGTAGAAAGCCTTTGATTGAAGCTGATTCATTTCCTGACGGGCAGAGGGGCCTGAAGTGCAAACAGGGACCCACAGCACACAGCAGGCACCCGCCATGCACCCCAAGCACCTTCTGTGCATAGCACACACCCCGCAGTCCTGCTGAGGGACAACTCAGGCCACGTGGCCCACAGCTCTGCTGAGAGGCTGACTGCTTTGGCTGCAACCAGGAAAGGCTGCTCAGCTCCAGGCAGGATCCCAGCGAGAAACGTCACCGGAATGTCGCAGGAAAGGACAAAGCAGTTTCACAGTGCCCTAAAAAACAACAGCGTTCCCAGCGTGCCTTGGAGCAGGGAGTTAATGGTTAACGCCGTGCCAGATGCTGGTCAGGAAGCAGCTCAGGCCCAGCAGCTGCCTTCCAGCCCAGCTGTCAGGACGTGGGCTTGGGTAAGGAAGGGACTCTCAGCGGTGCCTACGTGTTGACCTGGAGCTGATGGGAGTCTCCAAGAGGAAGGACAGGAGTTGTGGGCACAGATTGCTGGAAAGGACGCACTACTGTTGGTGAACCACTGTTACACCAACTCATTGTTCCACCAAAGTGCTCCCCCAGAGCTGGTTCCTGCAGGGCTTGGACCTCGGCTAGTTATCTGCCTTTATACCTGGTAACGCTGGGTGGAGAGCTTGGTGGGGATTATCTGTCAGGAATGAGAGCTTCTGGCTACACAGCCTGTGGGTCTAAAGGAGAGGGATGCGAAGACAGGATCCCAAGAGTCACTGATCTCTGTGGATGCCAGAAACCGTTCAGAGTCCCAGAGGAGAACCAGATTTTGGAGAAAACATCCTAGCCTCTGAATGAAGTTGAAAACTGAACTCAGCAATTAATGGGGAGGCAATGACACAGCCCGCAGCAGAAGAATCACCAAAGACATCCATCCTAGATGAAAGGGACCTTCTGAGGTGATGCCTTCCCCATACACCTTCTCAAATATCAGGAATTAAGGCTCCTCTCATGAAGACCATAGGTACAGTGTCTTTGCAGCCACTCTTCCCCACAAGACTTACTGCAGCTGCCATGTGTCACTGGAGGTCTCAGCTTCTATAGGGTCTGAAGCCTCCCAACCATCCCAATCTTCTTCTGCAGTCTGTAGGAGACAATAACCTGAGCTCGTTGCCAGTGAACTGATGGGCTGAGCAAACAAGCTGCTCTGACAGGAGTTATCCTTTGATTTGTATTTAGAATTCCTCTTTCCAAATTTTAAACCGTGGCAGCCACTCTGCCTTCTGGTTAACTGGCTGCTACAAAGGAGCATCTACACTCAACAGATTAGCAATGAGAAGCCTGTAGGTGCATTTAGTGCCACATAGACCTCCAGTCTCCCCACAGCACAACCTCAGCAGAAGCATTTTGTAATGTACTCCACCTTAGGAGTTCCCTTAGGTCTCTCGAAGGAGGACCCAGTCAGTAGCTGCTAACATCAAACAGACACTGGGATTCTCAGTGCTTGGGAGACTCCTCAAAACAATCTCAGCTGATCATGGCAACAACTGTCTGCCCCTTGGGTGCTGAAACACTTCTTCTCAAACCTCTTTTGGGGTATCCTCTGTCCGTACCTTATTTGATGTCTTTCAGATGACAACAGAACAGTTGAAAGATCTCAAAGCAAGGGGACAGGACAACTTCTGAGATTTGCTCTTCTCTAATTCTGCATTTCTGTTTCACCTGTATCCTCTCTTCTCCCCTTCTAGCCCACTCCTCTTCTCCTCTTCCATCTGATGGTATCTGCTGTTCTCCCCTTCTGCTCTTCTGCTTTTCTCCCTTACCTGTATCCTCTCTTCTCCACTTCTCTTCTTCTACTTTTCTGTCTTCTCTATATGCTCTCCCATTCTCCTCTTCTGCTCTTCTGTCTTTCAAGTATTCTTTCTTGTCTTCTTGTTGTCATCTCTTCTGCTCTTCTGCCTTACCTATATCCTCTCCCTTTATTTTGCTATTCTCCTCTAGTGCATCTTAATCTTTCTTAACAATATCCTCTCTAACTTTCTTCTCCTCTGCGCTCCTTTCTTACGTGAATCCTCACTTCTCCTCTTCAGCTCTTCTATTTTCCTGCTTTTCTGGGTTCCTACTGCATCTATTCTTCTCTTCTGCTGTTCCTTCTCACATGCAAGGATGTATGAGAGGTACAGTGTAATAAGCTTCCCTGGGGTCAGCAGGACCCTTCAAATCTCCAGCTACACTGGTGATGGGGTCTATGTGGCACAACAGATCCCACAAACAGTACTTCAACCCTGAGCTCTGAAGAAGCTGCATGGGAACATCCCCATCTCACCAAGCTCCACAAGCAGAGGACCTCCTTCATGTTCCAGACAAACTATTGCCACACATACCCTACCAGCCCAGAACTGCTCAGCCCATGAGCTCCTTTTCCATCCAACCCAACTTTTCCTGTAGTTACGACTCAGCTGGGGCTTTCAGAAGTTCCCTCAAAAGAAAACCAACCAGACAACAATGGCAAAAAAAAACAAAACAAAACCAAATCCAACAACCAAACACACACATTGTGAGAACTATTTCAAAGTCCTTTGGCAGCGTATCACAGCCTTCTGATGCAGGAATACAGTGAACTGTATTCCTGCATCCTGTGTTACTCACAGGTGAGTAAGCACTAAGAAAATGAACCTTCTCAGAGAAAAGGTGAGATTTCTTGGTTTAGCTCACACTACTGCAAAGTTTATAGATGAACTGGTCACGTCCTGCAGACAACAGCATATTCAGAGGAAGTTCATTCATTTCATTCTAAGAGCAGTTTCTAGAAGGCTTCAGATAACGTGCCCTCCATCTCTCGCCATGTGAAGGGAATAAAGCAGCTCCAGCTCAGATGGCAGAAGTGATGGGAGATAAATCCCAACTAAAGATTCCTTTCTGGATGTAAGAGGAATCCTGATTCACGCCAGCCATCAGCGTGGAGCTGCACGTTTCTAAACCTGGGATGGCTCTCTTGTGTGAGATTCATTCAGCATATTTCACAGTCAGAAATCTGCAAGCTTCAGGAGAAAACCTATTCCAATTCCCTACATCCTATACACCTTTATGAGAGACCTTCTAGTGCTTTGTACTGCATATTATTAATGAGTCCCAAGCAGGAAAGCTTGCATGCCATCTCAGCCTCACAGCCTCTATCAATCGGGCATTTTTACATGATTTCTACCCTACTTTACATTTCTTTTTTAATAGCTTTAGTGTGGAGGAATCTCCAGGAACAAAGGGTTGCTACAGCCCTCCTACTACTGGGAATCCATTGATCTCCACCTGCAAAACCCATCATCAAACTGCAGAGCAGTAGTGTTCAAAGCATGCAGTAGAGCAAGACCTGCTATTTGAAAAGCAAGTCAAAAGATGTATTGAATTGTAACATCCAAAAGGGAGGACAGGATACTGATACATGCAAATAAGCAACCAAAAAGCAAACAAGATTTACAAGACAGTCTAGCTCAAATCAACTGCAACTGAACTTAACTGGCAGAATCACACCTTGAAAATCTTATTTGCTGCTTAAACGTTTTCATAAATCTGGTCTCAAGCTGATTTGGTATGATGATATCCCAAAAGTGAGCAGTATGAAAAGGACACAGAGCCACCCATAGGACATGGTCCTTACCTGTAGGGCCAGGCTGTGGTGCTCAGTGCCAGGACAAGAGGCAATGGGCACAGACTGGAAGACCAGAGGTTCTGTCTGAACATTAGGAAGCACATCCTTAATGTGCATGAGATCTAGCAATGGAATAAGTTACCAGGGAGGTTGTGGAATCTCCCCCTTGGAGATATTCAAAAGCTGTCGGTGCTGGACAAGCACTGGGTGTCCCTGCTGAAGAGGTGAGGTTGGACCAGCTGGACTCAGAAGGCCCTTCCAATCTGCACCAGTTTTTGGTTTTGTGATCACACATCATTAAAAATAATTCAGATTTAACTCACCTTGTTCCTCTGCAAAGTTTGTG